GGTGCGTTCTACATAGTCTCCCTGAACACAAGACCAAGTTGCGACAACGAGGTCAACCCACTTCTATCCTCATCATGTTGCCAGATAGCACTGTAGTCTAACTTATAACTTAGCAACCATCAGTGCCCCTTGAGTTAGCCGAAAATCAAAGTGTTTCATGTTGTTTTTTGCTAAAATCGGAACCTAACACGATTATATTGTTAAAATTTGTACGTCCTTACACAATTGAACATTAGGCGGAATCTATACTCTATTCTTTTATAAGTTTCTCAATCTCTTGATTAATCGTTGCTTTTATATTTTTGTCATGCGCCCAGGGTGCTTGCTCAACGTTAATTATGATGCCACTATTGCCATACCAATCGGAATATTAGTGTACACCGAATCTATAAAAATTCCAAACAGATCTCTCTGTTTTATCACTTAATCACCTAATTACTTAAAAAAGTTATAAGAATTATTGATTTTAAATTGCCATTATCCAGAGATTTGCCTTAGCTAACTACAAACAATCCCTCTAATTGATTTTAAGTGACAATCTTCAGATGACATTGGTTTTCTACATATCTACTTCTCGTCCAAAACACAAATGTAGGCAATTCTCCAATCTGGTCTTCCGTGTTTTTGAGGGGTCCATATCTAAATCTCTTTACGTTTGAAAATCCGCTAAAGCCTGCATTATTTTTTCTGTATAAATTATCCTATCCATTAGCAATAATGTTCCATCCTTATTCAAACGCATGACTCTTAACTCGTTTTATCCTATACCCAAATGTTATAGTTCCCTAACGTTGTTCATTTTAACTTGATGTAAACTATATAAATTAACTTGTTTTCTATCAATTCCAACTTCAGGAAGTCGTACTGTAATTAGTGAAGTCTAGTAACTGGTTTTATAAATCATTCTTGTTTTCTAGTGTTTCCTTCAAGCCTCTATATAATCAAAAAGCCTTAGTCAGGTATGGACAATTACTCCGATATGAGACAGCATAGCACGGGGATTGTGGAGGACATTTTTAAGTTAAAGGGTAGAATAGATAGGGCGATGGAATTTAGTAAGATGCTTTTTAGGTGTCCGGTTTTTTATAATAGAGGGCGAATTGGATAGGGATATGTATATAAAAACTTGAAATGCGGGTTTCCTTTTTAATTTCATCCACTTTTCGGGTCAAGGTGGGACTTATGAAGTCAATACCACTAAGAAGTTTGCATATGGCAGGCGCAAATCACAGGGGTCAAGAGTTAGAAAGGTTTATAATAATATTAGCTCATAACAATTATCCATTTGGATTTCACAATATTAGCATATGCGATTAAGAAGTATAAATAACTTATTCTTAAGAAGGGAAACTGAGCTCTTGATCGCAGAATCCCGCAATAAATAGCCTTTTGGTTTCCCGTGAGGCCAATTTATTAATTCCTACCAGCCGCCGTTTCAAACAAATGATAGCTATGACGACTTCATTCTATTAGGATATTCTATTTATGGTGAAATCTTTAAACGATTTGTATGGGTTGTTAACTTAGCATTGCACGAAAATTTACTTTAAAATATTTGATTAGGTCAATGGAATAAAGATTTAATAAACAAATTTCTGCTTGAATTTATATTTTCTATTTAGTAACCTCAGAAGGAGTTTATTTGACTAAAATATTATTTGTGAATAAGTACAAGATAGACGGTCCAATGAATATGCAAATTTGAAATGGATACAGTAATTAATTACGAGGGAATATATCTTGGTTAAGTGGACTCATAAATTATGTGATTGCCGCTTGGCTTCTTGGCCCTAATAGGCTTCGGAAGAAAAAAAGAAGGGATCACTTTATGGGCGGATACAGAGTGTGGATGGCTTGGTTAACGGGGTAATGCATACATGAAAAGGAATTAACTTTATGAACTTCTTACGGAGATTCGGATGATTATGTCAAATGAATGAGCATAATTAGGCTTTAGGGTAATGATATTGCCAAAATGTATTTGATGACTTACTTCTTTCATAAATTGTTCCGCTTGCTATGGACTGTATGTCGGAGTTAAGTTTGTCTGCTCCGAGTTTTGAAATTAACTTACTCCCCTTTGGTGGATGATTAGATAAATTTGCTTTGTTTTCAAGCTATGATGTTTCTGTTTTTGATTTGACATAGTTTTATCATTAAACCTTATTTTAGTCTGTTTAGTCTGTATTCTCGTTTTTATGTCTATGATTCCTCCTTTTACTGAATAAATAGTCTTACCATATACCAAGAAATAGCGGGTTTCGATGAATCTCATGATATAATTTGCCGTGGAGACTTCAATTTTGTATGAAAGTGCGTGATTTAAAGATTCGTAGGTCGATGTCACCAGAAAACAACGGCCGATCCCCGCCAAACAGCGGCCTTTTGGCTTTGATACATCGTTCCAATTGACGCAGTCCACAAGACATCCTGCTTCGTTGTGGGAGATAACTGGCTAAGCTCTCATCCATTACAAGACGAACATCATCAGAGCTGGGACTCATTTCTTCAAAGATTTCTAGATTCAAAAAGACTGACCATCTTTTTCCTATTTCATTTTTTTAAAGATATAGACGAATATAGAAAGGTCTGGTTAATTTTCTTATACTCGACTGTGTCTGTGTGTATGTATGTGTGTTGAGGTCTGTAAGCACAACCGACAATTATCAGAGTTATTGTAAAGAAGACTAATGCCATCTCAAAGACCCCAAAAAATGGTGTGTCTGAGATTGCGTTAGTCGTTAAGTAGTTCTGGTTGAATTGATGAGATGTAGGTCTGTCAGGTTACTAGAACTACCAGTCAGAGCCCGTTAGTCCAAGCTGAATGTTTAATTGATAATAATATCTATTTTTAAATAAATACATTTTCAGACGGAGATTAACCTGTTGGAGATAGACAAGCTGAGACCCTTTTCATGTCCTAATCTTGCCGTTATTACTTCCTCCTAAGAGGATAGGCGAACTATTGAGGAAATGAGGTATGAGGACAGTTTTCAAAGAAACTCTGACATTTAATTCGGCTATGGTTTCATTTTGGAAGAAATATAACCCATAATCAAGATCGGGTTTTTGCAAGATATTGTGCGCTTGTGGTAGGTCTTATGCTGGGGAGACCTTTCGGCCGATCTACCAAACATTGCAGGAACATGAGAAGGCTTGTAAAAACAGCCAAGTCGAACGCTCAAATGTGAAGGAGCACAGGACAGAGGCTGGACATGAGATTTAGTGGTCTCGGGCACAGAGGCTTGCTGAGTATGGTACATCTGAGGTTAAAAGGAAGATAAGGGAGGCTAGTTTAATTAATAGCTAAACAAATAAGTTGAGTGCGAAGAATGGTGGTAAAAAGTTGAGTTTAAAGATTGAAGGAGAGAGCGGATGTTGAGCCTCAACCTCTCGGCTGAGTGATGGCTTTAACCAAATTCACGAGCATTCCGCAGACATTTCCAACTCTTCAACCAAAATAAACGTGCAAAACTACGCCATCTTAGACATGTTTTTCCTTGGCACGTTAAATCTTATTGACCCCTGACCTACGGGTCCTGCCTTGTGGTTTTGTAAGCTGACTTTCAACCAGAATTACTTACGGACTAACGCAATCTCAGTCGTGCTTTTCTCCTTGGGCAATTGGCCCTTGATAATCTGGGGTTGGCTTTATCCTTCTTTACATTCACTCTGATTTGGGGCCGGCTTTGTGTACGGACTTTAACACCCATACATGCACAGCCGAGTAGAATAAAATTAACCAAATGTTTATATCAATTAATCTCTTTTTTAAAATTTCCCTTTTATGAATAAATAAATATATATATATATATAATTATAAGACAAATAACTTTAAAAGAATGAGTCCCATCTCTGATGATGCTCCTCTTATAATCGTCTTTACCCAAAACGAAATAGCATGTCTCGTGGGTTGCTAAAACCAAACGGCTGTTGTACGGCGGGAATCAGCCGCCGTCTTCTGTTGAGATCTACCCACGAACCTCTTCACCGTGCACTTTTTATTCAAAATAAAAGTTTCTAAAACAGTTTTTCTACGCCAGCGAGTTTTATTTGTTTATTTCACCTGCTGCTTTTCTCCCAGCCGATCGGCAATGCCCTTGACGATGGAAGCGTAGTCTCTACCAAGTTTTTGCAGAGAGCCGGTCATCTTGGAAGCTTGTTTGCTTGGTTCATATGACAATGCGCCCGGTTTCCTACTGCGCTGCTTGAGGTTTGATCTGAGATGGGACGACACTGAGCACGGGATTCGGGACAGCTCACTACGGGCTCTGACAGTGCTGGACTTCGGTCCTTTAGATGGATTCTCTTGCCGGGAATGTAGGACCACTTTCCGCTTCTCTGTGCCATTTGAAAGGAGCTGGGCGGACTGCCTCGAATTCGGCCCGCATTCACTCCCTCGCTCAAAGCTCATCTTCAGCCGCAGTCTGGAAGACTTTGCCGGACCTCGTTGCAATCACTAACCGATCCTTGTCAGTACAGCCGTCAAACAGTCGTCAGACACTCTCCTTCGATGACATGCTTCCTCGGAGCACCAGCTAAAGCGGCGAATTCAGCACCGCATTGTCCTCGAATTGGGTTTCAAGACCTTCTCGCTTCTCACTCTCTCTCACTCTGCCTCGTTTCACTTTCGTCTGGATCGGGATCATTATTTGCGACTAGTTGAAACTCTTCTTCCTAGTGTATTTCGGAGAGAATTTGCCTCTAACAAACGCGGATCATAACTCAATTAGAATTTCTTGTTAACGAGATTGCTATCTTGCCCAGTTTATAATGGGTTTCGTAGTTAAAGATATTTATTTCCAGTCTTGCTAATGTTAGCCTTGCACTATTGACTGCTTCAGATCCGAAATGAGCATGTGGGATATTTAACAAGAACAGCACAAATATTGTAAGTAGTGAGCAATCATAGGCTTTCTATGCAGCCTAATAAAGATGGTAGCAGCGGTTGGTGGATTTCCAAAGTAACGTAGACATAAATAGGTAGGATTCCAAATCTATATAGCTCTAAAGTGAGAGGAACTTTCGAAAAAGTGGTAGCGATTTAAATTATTATAAAACTCACTTTTAATTTTTCAGGCTGTCAGTATAGCCTAAATAAGATCATAGTTGTAAGACAGGCAGCAAAATTCGGATGATTATAATCAAGTAGTAAATAGTAGTATGGTGGATTTATGTAAAAGTATGGATTTCAAAGACTGGCAGATAGTACACATTGGTAGAACAGCCATCTGAATTCTGACTGTCCTTTTTCGGTTAATATGAAGAAAATCTGGGTTTCGAAGAAGTCCTTAGTGGTATGTTGTGAGATAATTTTCCATTTCAAAGGAAAAATTGGTTGGAAAGAAGTCGTGATGTGGTCTCACCGGAAAGTGATGGAGGATTGCCGCGCAGGAAAGATTGTTGAATTGTGCAAAGGAGTCCTTGGCTCATCGTTTTTGACCCAGATGAAAATGTGATAAGCATTCAACTCTTCTGTGACATACATCATCAGAGCAAGAATCCATACTTCACGAAATAGAGCAAAAATATACTAAACCGAGAGAAAAGTTGGCCGGCTGCAACCCTAATCGCTTTGTATACACCCAATTTCGGGATCTTAAACCCTACTCTACATGCTTGCAAATGGTTAAAGTTAGTTCCCGAACAGGAAGTGCGTTCAGTGGCAGCTGTTTACTTGCACAAATAAACTAGGTCAAGATCCTCAAATGTTGATTCATGTTGGACTTGTGCTATTGTGTGAATGCAATGTTCATATCATGCGAAGTGTGATGGTCTTAGCTAGACTTGAGGCTAATCCAGCCTTCTCCTGTTCATAGGCTCTTCCTGCTCTCTCTCTTCCTCATTCTTCTTGAGCCTATCCAACAGCCACAAATGCTTACTACTCCGTTTTCTACACTCGTTCTTCCTATTCAGGACGTTGACGGTTATGTCAATTTTCATAGACTTCCCAATCTTACGCTTTTATGTCAAGTCCCGATAACCGGCAAAATGTGTTTTAGAACTAACTAAATCACTTTATCGAAGGTATGAAGACTAAGATGGTGTGGCCTTTTGTGTGGTCGCAGTCTCTTTTCGTTGTATAGACGTTGTTTGACCTTGTTTTCGCAACATGGTCATATTGGTAGGAAGACCTAGAGGAATACACCTAGTCCGGAGTCCATTGTTTGAATGATCATTTCCAAAGTTGAACTGTGGACGTGGTAAATTCCCAAATGTTTCGCCAGCATCGTAGTCGTCATCGTCAGTGAGTATCGCCATCCTTAGCACCATACAACAAATCGTCAAAAAGACATGTGAAGCCGATCCTTTGACCAAACATATGCGAAACAATTATGGTATCTCCCCC